ATTCTTACATTATCAATACTTTGTTATGTCATCTTACAATAACCTTCAATCATGTGTCTTAGCATATCTGAGTTTTAGAGTAATATTGAAGCTGTTATATTTCTGTTTATGAGCACTGGCATTCTTACCCAATATACGAGGGTTGCTCTGAAGGCAATGCCTCCTATTACGTTGGCCCACTACATCAGAGGCAGATGTTGATAGTACAGCAATAGAGGTTGAACCTTCCCATCAGTATTCCACTACATTTTGTTCCTGTGCATAAAATGGCATCAGAGGGGCAGTCTGATAAAATGATGTCTGACACGGAAATGCAGATGAAGCAAAGGTGTGTCACTGAATTCCTCCATGCAGAAAAATAGGCACCCACTGACATTCAATGATGCTTTCTGAATACTTGTGGAGACCAAACAGTCTCCAGCTACCAAGAATGAGGCAGTGGGTAGTGCATTACGTGAAGAAAAGCCATGTTCCAGACAGTTATGCACATGCCACAAAATGAAGCGTCTCAATCAGCTTATTCCCACAAATTGGCAGATTATAACTAGGGAACTACATATGGACCTAATATCAGCTTCAGTACACTGAAAACAATGGCAATGTAAGAATGTTGCAAAGTTTGCACCACGCGAGTCTCATGAATGCTCACATTGGAACAGAAAGAGCAGTATATGCAAGTTTGTTGGGACCTACTGAACCAACATAAGGCTGAAGGTGACAGTTTCCTGGATCACATGATTACTGGTGAGAAGGCACAGTGTCACCACTAGAAGTGAAAGTCAAAACAACAGTCCATGGAATTGCAACACGTGAATTCTCCATCAAAGGTAAAGTTTATAACACAGTCCTCAGTGAGTAAAGGTGATGCATAATGTCTTCTGTGATAAGAAAGAGGTGATCCTATGGATCTCTTAAAATTCATACAAACCATCAACTCCAACCACTGCATGGTGTTGCTGACTAAGCTGAAGGCTCAAATTTCCAGAGTCAGACCAGTGAAAAAGATAACATATTTCTTGCAGCATAACAACACTGGGCACCATACCAGTTTGAAGACCGTGGAGCACGTGGTCAGTCTTGTCTGGACTGCCCCACCACACCTACTGTATAGTCTAGATTTAGCGCCTTGTGACTCATCTATTCCAACTGTTGAAAGATGGACAGCATGGGCAACATTTTCCTGGCAATGATGCCATGCCACAGGTCACCTCCCTTGCTGCAGATTTTTATGAGCACAGCAGGTAGGCTTTTGTTCACTGCTGGCAAAAATGCGTAGCTGATGGTAGTGACTATGCTGAAAAATAAAGCAAATTTTCAGCTGCAAAATGCCATCAAATAGTGCTCTTTGTATTTGTTGTAGTTTCCATAGAAGTAATTAGGAGGCATTACTTTTAGAGCAACCTACATACATTTCAAGCACATTTTCAGTTTACTGATATGCTGCTCTGACTGAGAAATTCTGCTGATAAGCAGTAAGGAAAGTAAGGAAATAGGAACCACCTATGAAGTCAGCAATCCATGAAGTAAGTCTCTACACAAGATTTGACAGATCAGAGCGATGACAGTATAACAAGCAAACCCTTCTACTGTAGGAATGGTAAAAGAGTGGTAAAAGATGCACAGTTTGTCTTTTTTCTTACAATTTTGCTATTATGTATTTTATTGATTTGTACATAATGTACCAATTCAAAGATCACTATGACTATGTCCATACAGGACATTCATCTCAGCCTTAGGAAAAATGAGTGAATTATTTTGCTGGGGGTTGTCCTCCTGTGCAACACCATTCTGCATAATATAGGCAGGTGCCTTTTTCTCTACAGATGAATAATTCCTCCTTTGGTACAGAAATGTGGGTATTTTACCTTACTCCAATGTCTACGTCAAAAACTATGTTGTATTCCCAGTGAGGTTACCATTCTATGCCAGATCAGAATTCCTTTTTAATCAGTACAGGAAATTGGAGTTCTACTAAATAGAAGCAAAGTGAAATCTTTAGAATTTGATTTTATTTTACACAATAATGGTAGTGAGGCACAATAATGGTAGTGAGATTGCCCAAAGAGGTATGTCCCATCACTGGAGACATCCAAGGTCAGGTTGGAGCTCTGATCAACCTGATCTAATTGTAGATATCACTGTCCATTGCAGGGGAGTTGGACCAGATGACCTTGAAAATGTCCTTCCCAACTCCAACAATTCCGTGTTTCTATGACTGCAGTGATGGTTGGAAAAAAAATACCAGCACCAGGTGGTGGATCAGTTGAACTCCAGAAACTTAGCCAAATACAGAACAATCTTATCAAGATAAAAAATCTGACAAATAGCTTATTAATAGATAATCATTTAAAAGATTTTTTAAGACTGATTTCAAAGGCCTGATAGTAAGCATTGATAAGAAAAGAAAATCCAGCCCCCATAACACACGTATGTAAGTTGAAAGGAAGCAAAATTCATCATGATTTGTTAGGGGGAATTGAAAATTTCTTTGCTCTGGTTGGTATGATTGTGAAGAGTAAAATTAATCGCTGAAGGCTTAATGTGCTCAGGAAACTTGTGACTGAATAGCAAAATTCCTTCTTGAAGAAGGCACTACAGTTATAACTTAAGGCCCTGGATGGAAGTTTCTGTATGAGAACAAGAAAAACAGCATCTGCAAACCAGGTATGTTTTAGAATATGGTATCAATTATTTATTGTAATGGATAGAAAGGTATTATCTATTATTTGTCAGAATGTGTTTACTCACTGGGAAACCTGTAAATTGGTCAAAGAAATCACTTATGCAGAAATTGGTCAGCTGAGCTTATTTTGGTCTTCATTTAGTTTCTGACTTCCTAAGTTCAGTGCACCTGTCATCTGTGATAGACACTGTGTAGTCATGACTTTGGCTAGGTCCTCAATTGGCTTAAGGACTTACACTGACTTCCACAACCAGTATTTCACCTTGCTGTCCACTCAGCTCTGATAACTGGTATTAAAAGACACCTCTCAGTATCCTCGAGGGACAGAACACCACTGTAAATTAATCTAACCTAGCAGTTCAATCTCCACAAGCTTGCTACAAACTAATGAAATTACATGGTCAAACAAAGACAGACTACAGTTAAGCTTCTTTTATGTTAGCTTCAAATACTTCAGGTAACAAAAAATACTTCAAGAAAGGCTTGTTACTTAATGAATGTAAGATGAACATAAAATTGCGGTGTTATATATCTATTAATATTTATGTAACTTCTACCATTAGATGTCAGACAGTGGGGAAAAATAGAAGAGGAAAAGAAGATGTATTTTCCTTTATTCAACCTTCTTTAATGGAAATCTATGTTACAATTTCTGTATTGATATAACTCTTTATGAAAATTTATTTACTTTCCAGTGGGTGCTTTGTGCTGATTAGGTGGGAAAGGATTGCACTTTCTGCTATTTATAACATAGATAATGATTTTCTTTGGGGTGAATGGCTCCTTATTTATCTCCAGATGCTTTCCTTGACAGGTACAAAGTCAGGACAAAAAAAGTCTTCAATGCTTTATCTGCTATAAGGTAAAAATACAGGCCTGCTTCCTGAAAGTGATTCTACTCAGACATGTATTCTCATATTGTACAGGTCATTTTGCACAAGAAAAGTGTGTTTCTGGATATTTTGCTTTCAAAATTGAAGATTAAAGGATCTGTCCATTACTAAGCTACTTTAAATACTAGAGTAATCATAAGAAACACAACGTTTAAAATAGTGTAGCATAATCCTGGATTTATTTAAGTGCTCCGCTATGTAACTCTTGTGCTGTCTGTGGTAGTTTCACTGTCAGGATAATTGCTCTGGGAAAGGTTTGAAATCAGATGGGGTGGCCAGCAGGGAGAGGGAGGTGATTGACACTCTCTACTCTGCCTTTGTGAGGCCCCATCTGGAGTACTGTATCCAGGTCTGGAGCCCCCACTACAGGAAAGACAGAGAGCTGTTGGAGAAGGTCCAGAGGAGAGCCACAAAGACGATCAGAAGGCTTGAGCACCTCCCCTATGAAGACAGGCTGAGGGAGCTGGGCTTGTTCAGCATGGAGAAAAGAAGGCTGCGGGGTGACCTCATTGCAGCCTTTCAGTATCTAAAGGGAGCCTATAAACAGGAGGTGAAGCAACTCTTTGGAAGAGTAGATAACAGCAGGACAAGGGGAAATGGTTTTAAGTTGCGGGAGGGAAGAT